TAGCCTACATCGTCACCCTTATGATTGTCCTCATGAGCGCCGTATGTCTTACAATGATTGTCATCGGGGTTACCATATATCTGGACGTCGCGTACGACCGCATCAGTCGCCGGACTCACCATTTGTTGGCATTCTTTGCGTTCTTCGCGATCATAGGGTTTGTCATTAACACCTGTATGTGTGGGCTAGGGTTGGCCGGAACGGTATTCGTGTCCGACTTCTGTATCGATGGCAAAGACTACTTGAGAAACCAGATCAACGACACCTCACTCTGGAAGTACTTATTCGAGTGTCTGGTCGAGGAGTTTGAGATCAACGGACTGTTGGAGACGACAGAGAGTGGGCTGACGACCGCCCAAAGGGGTTACCATTTGGTGTTCACCGGACTCAACAAATTACTGCACTTTTACTGCAATACCACGGATTCGCTGCTCAAGTCTGGCATCAAAATCATTGATCTCTTCGTGCCGTTCGTGAACCTCACGACCAGTAATAGCATTGCGTGTCCGCAGAGTCTTCGAGACATTGTCGCCAATACGACCGCAAGACTGGACTCCGGGATCAATTCGACGATAGAGACGCTGCAGACATTCAGAAGTGCCGCCGATTGTCGCGAAGTAAACAATCAGTTGTATCACATTTTCGACATTCTTTGCGGAGATATCGTCGCCAAAGCGATCATCACTTTCGTGATGTCTGTACTGACTTTCGTGGCATTTATTGTATTACTGTTTGGCTCGACGTATGCCTTCTTCAGACGATCGACGACTGGGACCAGTGTTTCAGACACTGGAAGTGACCACAAGACAGACACTCAACAGTAAATAGTGAACAGAATAGTGACGATAATCTCATGAATACAAAAGGATTGCAGAATAAGTCTATAAAATCGCTGATTGAATAAAACTGAATACCCCGGTATTACTGTTAGTGCAAATTTATATATTTAAAACTATTAATATTGATATTCTGGTAAATTTGTTAAATTCTTTATAGATATTTGTATTTGTATTCAAATTGCTTATATAATAAAATTTAAAATGTTTTAGAGCTGATTAGTTTATTTAAATATGATTTATAATTAAATTAAAAGTTAATTTCAAAAAAGGTTTCACTGATAACTTAATAAATTATTAAAACTCAAGTCTTAAATAAATTAAAAGTTATAAAACTTACAGAATAAGTATTGAATGGAGTTGAATTAGAAATGCTAAATAGTTTTCAATTTATGTATTATGTATTTCAATAGTATGTGTAAACCTAAAACCATTTAAACTTTAAATTTTAAAGCTTTTTACTGAATAGCGTTTACTTATGTAAAACATTTAGTAAACTTCTATCATACTTTAATATTAATAAATTCATTGAAATGATTGTGCATGTTCATTGTAAAAGTTTAATAAACATTTTAAATAAAGTAAGCGCTATTTAGTAAAAACCTTTAAATGGTTTTAGGTTTACACGCGTTTTAAATAACTTATCTTGTTAATCCGTGAAAAGGTATCAAAATTAATAGATTAGCCAACACTGAGATTTTCACCAAGGCGAGATGTTAAACAAATATGATGAATATCTCAGACTTTAATCTCGTGGGAAGAATGGATCAAATCGATGGCGTCCTATACTTGGGTGCTATAGAAGCGACTGAAGACCCGGAAGAGCTGAGAAGGGCTGACATCACAACCATTCTGTCCGTTATATCCGATGAAATGGAGGCAAAGGACAGAATCGGTGGCATTAGATACCACTGGATTCAAGCGGACGACTCGCCACACGAAGACCTCTTGACTCACTTTCCGGAAGCGTACGACATCATTGACAAGTGTGTGGTGTCGGGCACCGGGATTCTGGTGCACTGCGTGGCAGAGGTGTGTCCCGATCGACGACAATAGTCTGCTCTTATCTGATGAAAAAGCGGCAGAAGACGTACGAAGAGATCCATGCGTTGGTTCAGTGCCGGCGTCCTATCATTTGGCCAAACCATGGATTTGTGGCTCAGTTGGGGTTATGGGAAGGGATGGGCTTTCGTTTGGACGCAAACAACAAG